CTGAGAATCCCATCTTATGAAAATTACCCAGACATTAGTCATGATTATTAATCACTTTACCTAAGCAAATTTGTATACTGTGTTTTATGTTTCTATGTTCTAAAATCCAAAATTTATAGTTACCAAAAGAAAAAAAAAGAGTACTGATCCTTCTGCTCTCATTAATGTAATTGCATTTGTGGCCCAAGAGTGTGTCTATTTATCAAAAGTTGATATTCATTGTTTCTTACAGGAGAGACTTCTAAAACAAATAACATCTCTATGGGAGAACATCCAAGAAAATGAGGAGAATCTAGAGGCAGAGAATATAATGACAACTTGGTGCAGAGTGATAGGAGATTCATGCTTAAACTCTGGTTGAGGTAGATATTTTTCAAAGTTTGTCATTCAAGAATTATATAAGGCATTGAGTGTGATACTAGGAAACATTTTCTTCTGGCTCCTCATTCTAAGTGTAAGATATACTTCTATATGCGGAAAGAATGATTTGTTTGTGTGGCAGAGGCGTCTGAGACTAATGAGTGAATTACTTACAGTTCAGCACACTGGATTAGTGTCTTTGACTGCACCATGAATTCCAATGACTACCTGCAGAGGTTCATATTTGAGTAAACACATGAATTATCAATCAATACCTTTTCTTCAGGGACCTCTGGATCTCTTATATAGGTGAAAATGCTCAAGGTTTTATTGCCTGTGTCATTAATAAAGAAGAAATTAATGAAACCAAAGAATTTACATATTCTGAAAAGTGGGGAGATTAAATCACAATCAATGTAACACAGTGACAGAAGTCATTTGTCAAATTTAGGCATAGAAGAGTGCAATTAGGAGGATAAAATACATTGCCAATGTGATTGAGAATGTCCCTTTTTATTCAGAACTACTTGACTCTGCAGAAAAAAATGATCAGGACAGAATACAGGTCATGGCACCCAGTTCCCTGGGAAGAGGATGAGCAGCATATTGAGTGTGTGACACATGAAAGTCAGTGTGTATGTAGAGAGACTCAGGGAAGTGAAGCCATGATGGTCCAAACAACAATCGATTAAGAGAAATGCCCAGAGCTGATGGCAGTGTCCCGAAACGATCCTTGGGATGGCTGCAGGTGAGCATGGAGGAGTGCAGGAAATTTTTTATTGTCTGGACCTACCCTGGTGATTGTTGTACTGAGATAGCTTTCAGTATTTCCTGCTTTCATATTAGGGGCTTTCCTTCTCAGGAATAATTGGAGAAGCTCGAGTTTGTAATAATCTTGAAAGACTAGGCTTTCTGAAATTATAATTTTTCAAGGAATATGTAGTGTTATCTGAAATTGGGAATTCAGTGGTTGCTGTTTCCAGTACTCCATTACCTCTAATGGATATTGAGCACAATTTGAAAGAAAGCTATTCCTTGATTTCTTCTGTCTGAAAGCTGTGTTTTTGAAAGTTCATTAGGAGGTTGGGATTTGGGGCCAGAGTTCTATTGGGTAGTACATGGTAGCCTCCAACTAACAATAAACCTCAGGCCCCAAACCCTTCTAACCTGATAATTCTGAATTTACATGCATGAGGCACTATACAGGGGTGAGGCCATACTTTTGAAGTACCCATAATGAAAGAATCCTATCCCTGTGCTTTGAGGACAAGCTCAGGGAATGCCACACTTGCAAATAGGTGGGTTTTTTTTAAAGCAATATACAATCATTAACCATGTCCTTCTCAAATTTTACTTTCATGGTCTGATTTCATCAAGAATTTGAATTCTGTTAATCTGCCTCGTTGGCATTATCCCGAGACATAAATATATATTTTCAGGGTGGATAGGTGTGATGGAAACTGACATTTATATGAAATTTATAAACAGATATTTTATGCTATTCCTTAAGAAATCTAAGTTTTTCTTGTTTTCTTTCCAGGATTTGCATGACATATTCCAAAGGTGGGTTTATTCATCAATGCAAGACATGATATCCCAGAGCTGGAGAGATGACTCAGCAGTTAAGAGCACTGACTGCCCTGCTCTTTCCTCCTGAGTTCAGTTCCCAGCAGCCACATAGTGGCTCACAAGCATTTGTAATGAGATCTGGTACCCTCTTATGGCCTTCAGGCAGATATGCAGAGAGAACTCTATATACATAATAAAGGAATAAATCTTTAAAATTTTTATATATACATATATGAAATATGGTATAAAATTGACAAAGCTGCCTTAGCAAAGTGCAGATATACTTTATACAGAAAATATTCTGATGTTTGTATATGATGTAATTGAGGCTATTTTTATGGATATGATTTCTGTTCTCCTTAGCCGATGCTAAAATTTCCAGTTTTAAAAACATAAACTCTGAGGGCCATTGGCTGTATATTCCTGGTAGCAAAAGACAGGGGCAGGAAACACTAAGAAACAGGTTGGTAGCAGGAAGGGCTTCAGAATGAGCATCAAGGAGGAAATTATAGTGTCTCCCGATCAGGGGGGCTCACTGTAATATCAGAAAACATGTATTCTGAAACATGTTCAGGTGTTTGTTTCTTTTTAATTTGATTTGTGGTAATTGTGTGTGAGAATCTGTGGGTGTGTATATGAACATGTTTGGAGGTCAGGGGACAACTTTCAGGAGACAGTCTCCTTCACCATGGGTTCCAAGGATTAAACTCAAGTAGTCAGGCTTATGTAGAAAAGGATTTATCACTGAGCCATTTCGCTGAACCTGGAATGAGGTTTTTCCTAATCACTGTGAAGATGTCTTTAGCACCAGGAAGATCAATGTCATCTTTTCTTGCAGGAGTGAGTCAATGCAGTTGAGCAGACTACAAAACCAGAACTCAGTGCCCAACTGGCAGAATGGTGCAACTACTACCAAGGTGAGTGTGAACAATGATGAAATGACCATAGGTACTCTTCAACAGTGAGATAACCTTTGCAAAAACAAATGTTTTAACTCCCCAGAAACATGTCTAAGTGAGTCACATGGTAACTTTAGATACAAACATAAATATCATGTTGTATCTGATTAAGGCTTAAAAGAGAATACAAGTTGTTCATGGGGACATAAGAAATGGCAAATTAAGGACTGTCTAATTCAAATTAAGTGTACTCAGTAATAGAAATATTTGATTATTTTCCCCAAAATGTTTTAGCAGCTATGTTCTTATAATGTATTATACTCTTAGACTAAATAAAAAACAGAAGATATGGTGGCGACATTTGCAATTCCAACATAATAAACATAAAGATTGCCAGTGAGTTTGACGACAATCTGGCCAACATAGTGAGTTCCATACTAGTCAGGGATAAATAACAAGACCGTATCTTTAAAAAAACTTAAAAAGAATAATCATAAAATAACTAAACACACAAAGCCATGTGTCATGAGCTGTGGAGGGTCCTAAATAAGGATAGCATAATAGAAGCCATCTTAATATTCATACTGTATTCTTAGAGACTAACAGTTAAGTTTCTGTTTCTCTGTGTCTGCTTATCTTCCTGTACAGCATATTTTCAAGGCCTGCAGTCCAGGCTCTCCCACCCTTCTGCCACTTGGTCTGCATTCCAGACTCCCCCAGCTGCGGACTTATGTCCATGGAACATATCCTGCCAAGGAGAACTTCTGCTCCCCCAACCTTCTGCTACCTGCCTTACTTAAGCCCTTTGGTACTTTCAATAAATGAGACTTGATCAGAATCCTGTCTTCTCTCAGGTCTCTTGTTCCCCCATTCTCACTCCCTCCCCTAGGGTCCCCATTGACTGACCCCACAGGCTGGGGCAATGAGCAATGAAAAAAATAAAATAAATTGATAAGACATGAGGCAGTGTCTGAATCCCTGTCCTAGATCTAAAAGTCAACTGCAACCTCCCAGGGAAAGAATGTTAGGAACCAGAGGTTAAAGGAGGACAATTACTACCAGGGACACACTTCTAAAGCATATCTGGCTCTTCCTATAGGATAAAAAATGATTAATTACATGGAAATCACACCAGTATGAAAGCGATCACTCCTCACATCTTAGGAATAATTTTTTACATAGACCCATGTGAACAGTGTTTGCCCTCACTGTAATACACACATCTTCTCTTTGCCAGGTGTAATTAAATGTCACCAGAAGTAGGCTGAGGCTCCATCCTTTACAGCATCTACAAAGTTTGATAAAAGCTTCCATCATGCTACCACTCTGTTTCTTGTGGAAATCCTTGACTAGCTGTATCTAAGCCACATTTAACCTCTAGTCTTATCCTGTTTGAAAAATCCAAGAAGACTTTAGGACCTCTCTCACCTGAGAAATGTAAATGGCATTTTAATTAAAAAGTTGACTCTCCTCAGTTCTCCTCTTCTCCCCTTCCCACTCTCCTATTACTCTCCCCCTTTCCCCCAAGAGAATGCAAGGTCCAGGAAGGTCAGTAGGGGAAAGGACAGAGAGGGAAACCTGGCACTAGGGAATTCCCAGGAATCCACAAGGTTGAACCCAACCAAGAATCTAAGTGAGGATCTTGGGTACTATGCATATATGCATATCTTTTAGGTTCTTTCCTGTTTCCCAGACTCTCTATCTGTGGAAGTGCAGACTGGCACTATCCTGAAGATCCTCTGAATGGATGGGGAACATGGCGAGGGGAGGGGGGGAGTGGGACCTGGGAAGAATAGAGGGGGTAAAGAGGAAGGGAGTTAGTCATGGGGGAACAGGAAGTTGAGGGGGTGGGGGTAGAATAGGGGGAAGAGGGAATCATAGGATCGAAGACAGATCAGGCACCAGAGTGACCCCGAGTGATCTAAAGGTATAACATCAATTGGCAAGCTAAGCAATAGTGGAGGGACCACCTCGAATGCCCATTCCTGATAATGAACTTGATGTCTATAACCACCCAGGAGCCTTCATCCTGTGACTGATGGAAGCAGAGGCAAACACACAACAAAGCACTGAACTGAACCCAAGGAACCCAGTGACAGAGAGAGAGGAGTGATGAGCAAATTGGCAAAGAATGGGCTGGCAAAACCAGCAGAGACAGCTGATCTGAACAGGGGAGTGCTCTTGGACCCCAGACCGACAGTGGGGAGGCCAGATCAGTCGATCTGGACCCCCCAAATGTGAGTGTCAGCGAGAAGGCCTGGGCAACCTATGGGGCCCTGAGCTGTGGATCAGTGTCTATCCCTGGTATACAAACTGTCTTCATGTGCCTATAGCACAAAGAGAGATGCTCTCTCAGCCTGGACTCTTAGGGGAGTGCCTTGACCCTACCAAGAGTAAAATGACAGACTCTAGATATCCCCTATGTGGAAGGATTTGGCAATAGGGTGGGAGGGAGGGGGAAGGGGAGTGCGGGACGAGGGTAGGGAGAGGGAACTGGGATTGATATGTAAAACAAGCTATTTAAAATTAAAATAAAAAATGATAAAAAAGAATCTAAGTGATAGTGGAGAGGCTACTTTAACTGCCCTTCCCCTATAGTCATCCTTAATTGTCATCCTAGAGCCTTCATCCCATAACAACTGATGGAAGCAGAGATTCACAGCTAAGCACTGGGCTGAACTCTTGGAGCCCAGTTGTAGAGAGGGAGGAAAGATAATATGAACAAAGGGGTCAAGACCATGTTGGGAAAACCCACAGAAATAGCTGCACTGAGATAATGGGACCTCACTGGCTCCAGACTGACAGCTGGGGAACCTGCATAAGACAGAACTAGGACCCCTGAAAGTGGGTGACAGTGGGGGGGGGGGCTTGTGCAGTTTATGGGGCTGCTGGCAGTGGAACCAATTGCAAGCACATTAACTGGGTTTTTGGAGCCCATTCCCTTTGGAGGAATACTTTGCTCAGCCTAGATACAAGGGGAGGACCTTGGTCCTGCCCCGAATAAGATGACAGACTTTGATGATTCCCAATGGGAGGCCTCATCTTCTCTGAGGAGTGGATGGGAGGATGGGATAGGGAGATGGTGGGGGGAATGAGAAGACAAGGGAGAAGGAACTGGGATTGGTATATAAAATAAGATTAAGATAAAAATAGAAATAAAAATATGTAAAATAATAAAAAAATGTTGTCTCTTCCCACAGCACATATTTTCTTTGAAGATATAACCATGCATCATTACAAGATGAACCTATGTAATGTCATGAGAAGAGTCAGCTTCAATCTCACCATTGGGATCCATCTGTGGATCCTATTGGATGCTATGTGGCCTTCAGGACTGGGCTGTAGAAATCTGTACAGATTTCTAATTAAGAAAGAGAAACCAACTGGTTGAATCTGAGGGTGTATTTCTTCTCATGGTGTAATCATTACAGTCTCCTCACCACATGCACCGTATTCCATCTCTGCATAGAGAGGCCACTGGGCTGGGTTGGAGTGCTCCTTGATTGTGATTCAGTTTCCTTGATGTTGCCCAGAGTTCCTGCATATACAAGTATCCTCCTGGCGCCTTCAGTTATTCTGTCAAGCCTTTCTTCTCCACCAGCTACACATGATCATAGGAAAATATAATCCTAATCTTGTACTTCAGTGGTCTTTAAGTATGTGCTTTGTGATGTTTTTATTGCTACTAAATATTAAAATACTATTAAATATAAAGTTAGTTGACTATGTTTCCTTTTTATCTGTGATGTACATGTTCCAACAAGACCATTTCCCTTCAAATGGGATTTGATTTTTTTCTATTTTCCAACTTTCTTTTTTTATTTTTAAAACACTTATTTTACATACCAATCCAAGTTTTCTCCCCCCCCTTTCCTACCATCCCTCCACCGTGTCCCCACCCCACACACCATTAACTCCTCAGAGAGGGTGAGGCCTTCCATGGGGAATCATGAAAGTCTGTCACATCATTGGGGCAGGACCAAGGCCCTCCCCCCTGTATCTAGCCTGAACAAGATATCTCTCCAAAGGGAATAGGCTCCAAAAAAACAGTTCACACACTAGGGATAAATAGGGGTTCCACTGCCAGCAGCCCCATAAACTGCACAACCCTCCCCACTGTCACCCACTTTCAGGGGTCTTAGTTATGTCTTATGCAGGTTCCCCAGCTGTCAGTCTGGAGCCAATGAGGTCCCACTAGTTCAGTGCAGATGTTTCTGTGGGTTTTCCCAACATGGTCTTGACCCCTTTGTTCATATTATCTTTCCTCCCTCTCTACAACTGGGCTCCAGGAGTTCAGCCCAGTGCTTAGCTGTGAATCTCTGCTTCTGCTTCCATCAGTTGTTATGGGATGAAAGCTCTAGGATGACAATTAAGGTAGTCATCAATCTGATTATAGGGGAAGGGCAGTTAATCACTCTCTCCACTGTTGCTTAGATTCTTGGTTGGGTTCAACCTTGTGGATTCCTGTGAATTTCCCTAGTGCTAGGTTTCCTATCCTCATAATGACCCCCTCTATCAAGGTATCTCTTTTCTGCTCTCCCTCTCTGTCCTTCCCCCAACTCAACCTTACTGATCCCCCTTGTTCTCTCCACTCCCCTTTTCCTCTTCCCACTCTCCTATTACCATCCCCCCTTGCTCCTAATTTGCTCAGGAGATCTTGTTCCTTTCCCCTTCTGGGGGACTGCTGGGTCCTAGGGCAGGTAGGGCTGGCAAAGGGCTGGTCCAGTCTGACTCTTCCTGGGGCTGAGCAGGATGGAGAGTGTCAATGACCCAGATTCCCCTCCTAGTTACCAGAGAGAACCACACTGAGTCTGGAGACTTATCAAAGCAGGATCTCTCCTTATTGTATTAGGCAGGTACTTATATAGGGTTGAGAAAGTGGGTGGGGACCTCAGGATGGGATGAGGTGGCGGGACCAACAATATTTCACCATGTTTACAGTAAGTAGCTGGGCAGAGCCAGTTTCGCTGAGTCACTCCTATGCGGAAGTGATAGGACAAAGACAGATTGTTAAACTCTAGCCAGGCTCAGGAAGTTCCACTAGGCCTTGCATCTGGGCCTTTTCAGGCTCAACAGGGGGCATTCATATATATCACTCTTAGGGTCCTCCTTGTTTCCTGGCTTCTCTGGGGTTGTGGACTATAGTTATCCTTTGCTTTATGTCTAATATCTGTTTATGAGTAAGTATACACAATATTTGTCTTTCTGTGTCTAGTAACCTCACTCAGAATGGTTTCTTCTTCTTCCATCCATTTGCCTGTGAATTTCAAGATGTCCTTGTGTTTTTTTACAGCTGAGAAGTACTCAATTGTGATTTTTGCCACATTTCCTTTACCCATTCTTCAGTTGATGGGCATCTAGGTTCTCTCCAGATTCTGGCTATTATGAATAATGCTGTGGTAACATAGTTGAACAAGTGTTCTTGTGGTGTGATTGGGCATTCTTTGTGGATTTTCTCAAGAGTGGTAATGCTAAGTCTTGATGTAGATTTATTCCCAATCTTCTGAGAAGCCACTATACTGATTTCCAAAGTGACTATACAAGTTTGCATTCCCAGCAGCAATGAAAGAGTGTTCCCCTTACTCTACATACTCTCCAGCATAAACTTTCATTAGTATTTTTGATCTTAGCCATTATGACAGGTGTAAGATAGTATCTCAGAGTTGTTTTGATTTGCATTTCCCTGATGACTAAGGATGACTTTTGTTTCTTTGTTTTTGCAAACTTGTCAGAATTATTATGACTAAAACTTTAGTTCAGTTCTAGATCCCATTTTAAGGATTCTCAGAACCCTCAGCTGTATTCTAGCACAAAAATACTACACACACACACACACACACACACACACACACACACACACACACACACATATATAATCTTATTGGTGCCAAGCAGGAGCACAGATAGATATCGTACTAACTTTTTTTTTCATGTTAGTTTGAAACAAGATACAGAGAAGGGAACCCCAGTTGAGAAAATGCCTACATGACAATGGACATTGGGCAAGCATGTAGAGCATTTCCTTACTTAGTTATTGATGAGGGAGGATGGCAGATCACTGTTGGCAGGGTTTTCTCTGGGCTGCAGGTGGTAGTTTTTATAAGAAAACAGGCTAAGCAAGACAATTTGATGATGAACAACAATATGGAAATGTAAGCAAATAAACCCTTTCCTCCCAATTGCTTTGGTCAAGGTGTTTCCTCAAAGCAACAATACTCTTAATAGGACAATTTAGTACCAGGATAGTGGGTATAACCAGGATATGACTGTAACACAATGGATTGTGCTGTTTTGGGGAGAATGATGAAGAGAATTTGGCTAGAAAAGTCCTTGAGTGTTGAGAGCCTAATGACTTGTACTATAGCTTGGAAGGTAAGAATGTTTAGATGATGGAGGCCTGGGTTGTGATGTTTCTGAGGTAAGGAAAGACTCTATGAGGACTTTTGTGTGAAGAATCTGTGTTGTCTGGTCAGCTGGAGCTCATGACTCAGCTGTGATTAGCCAGAGACCAGAACCACTAAAGTATTTCACCTTGCTTTGCTAGGACAATGTTGCTGGTCAGCTTGGGTTGAAAAACCAGCTGTGATTACAAAGACACCATTGAGATGAAGTCTTCTGGGAAGTGTTTCCTCAGTGTGAACACATGGAAGCTGTGTCCCAGAAGACCTGAGGTTACACTTGTGCTGGTAGCTGAACTTGTTAGTGTAGCAGGGACTGGTTGTGCAGTCATACATGATGAGGTCATAGAGAACAGCTCAGGCTTGGCAGTGTGAGGTTAAGAGAAGCCTCTGGAGAAGCTAAAGAGACTCTTGCTAAATCATGTTCATTGCTGTTTTGTTCATAGTAGCCAGCTATTGGAAACAACTTAGATGTCCCTCAACACATGAATGGGTTAAAAAGTGTGGTACTTTACGCAATGAAATATTACTCAAGCATTAAATAAATGCAACCATGAAATTTTCATGGAAATGAATGGAACTAGAAAATTCCTACTGAGTGAGGTAACCCAGACCCAGAAAGACAATATAGGATGTTTCCCTTATATGTGGATATTAACGGTTATGCTGGTATTAGTGGATATAAGTTGTCAATAATAAGCAATCTACACAACCACAGAGGTTAAATAAGGGAACAGAAAGAAATACTAGAAAAGGGAAATATAATAGATGGTTGTAGATGAATGGGGGACTTGAATGAGAGCATCAAGTAGGGAGAGGACAGGAAGAGGCTGTGATGTTACATGGTGAGAGACAGCTAAAATTAAGGACTATTTAAAATTTACTATGGAAGCCTGATATAATAGAAGCTTCCTAAAGCACATACTTATATGAAGCTGATTTAAATGAAATCACCAAATAATAGGGAAGATGGCCCCAAATATTGTCACCAACTGAAGCTTCCTGTACCAAGAATGGCATACTTCTAATTGAGTTGTTGGCTAATAGGGGCCATGGGAACACCCAAACATCTCAGAATGTCCATTAATCATCTCTGAAAAAGTGGCATTTAATTTTAGCTATATTTTACATTGAAAGGCATAACATCACGTAGCTTCCCAAAACATTATTCTCTGAACAATGGCGTTGAGCAGACAGAAGCTCTTTATCCACCCAGATTCAGTCACATCTGAGAGCTTCTTCTACATACCTGGGACAGAGCACTCCTGACCACCCCATGGAATGCATACTTTAGCAGACCACTTTCTTGACCAGTTCACACTGCTAATGTAGACATGCCGGCAGCTGTTCTTTGTACAGATGGCATTAGAGTAACAGGTCTGTGACACAGTATAAGCCGATACTGTCATAGTATCCAGGCAACCAAAGGCCCATTTTTAAAAATACCAAATTGAGATAAAAATCAAGAGTTCAAGACCATGTCAGCAAATTGTACCCAGTCACTCAGTTTTGAACATTAAGACATGGTTCAAATCCCTTTAACTCAGTCTGTATAGCCCTGAGATCATCCTGCAAAGGGTGTATTAAAAAATACCAAGTAAGGAGACAGATTTTGACATGATGTCATTATGCAGGTCAAACTTGGAAGGTCATACTGAACATCTGCCCCGACAGAAAATCATTTGGTCCTTTGTGTACACATTGATTTTATTGTAACAAAGCAACTTGTACACTTCAACATTTCCTTCCAATGAAAACCAAAACATAAAAATAAAAATAAATAAAGTTACAGCAGAGAATGTCAATTCCAAATAAAACCCTACAGGTTCTGCTGATAACTCCCATTGAGTGGCAGAGCTCAAGCCATTGTTAGGAGAGAATTTTATTTTAACCTGCAAGGATGTCTATTAAGCATCACAACCTAACATGCCTAAGGAGAAGCCATGTTGTCACAATGCACACTTACCCCCCTAGATACCTCAAACCCACCCTTGCTGACTTTCTATACCCCATTTTTTCTTTTCCTCCTCCTCCTCCTCCTCCTCCTCCTCCTCTTCCTCCTCCTCCTCCTCCTCCTCCTCCTCCTTCCTTCTTCTTCTTCTTCTTCTTCTTCTTCTTCTTCTTCTTCTTCTTCTTCTTCTTCTTCTTCTTCTTCTTCTTCTTCTTCTTCTTCTTCTTCTTCTTCTTCTTCTTCTTCTTCTTCTTCTTCTTCTTCTGCCTCTCTTCCATCATCCATATCAGGAGCCAAATAGTATTGCAAGGGGTTTGGTCAAATATCATCTTTAATGACCTCTCCTAACTCATCTGCACCTGCAT